CAAATGAAGTAAAACTGAGAAAACTGAAGGGAGAAAAAGACAAGTGCAAATCTTAGTTGGAAACATGAACACCCCTCTCAGTAATTAAGTGAGTAGTTATAGAAGCAGTAAGGATGGAGATAGCTGAGCAACACTAGTAACAACCTTTATATAATTTACATTAATAGAACACTAAACCCAACAACTGAAAAATAGTCTTTTTCCAAATATAACTGGAATGTCCATCAACATAAATCATATGCTGGGCCAACAAATAAGTCTCAATTAACTCAAAAGTTCACAATCTTACTGAGAAACATAAATAATTGAATAAATAAATAAGTGGGGGAGAAGAGTCCAATCTCTCAGGCAGAAGAATTCCAAATAATTTATGTAGAGACTCTGTTCTCAAAGAGGACAGCATAAACTCCAACTGTCCACAATGACTTCTTTCCAAAGGACACAGCATGGAAAGGAGGGGAAAAGAGCATCTTTACAGTGGGAAAACCTGACAAATACTACCTCAGTCAGGTGATCAAGGTCAACATCAACATCAATATCAACAAATCAAATAAGCCATGCTGATAGTATGTACTTGATATGATGTGATAAAAAGGATACTTTGCTCTATGGCCTTCCTCCCAAAAAGTTAAGACCCTACCCTACTCATGAAGAAAAACATCGAATTCCAATAGGGAGGCATCCTACAGAACAACTGACCAGTATTCCCCAAATTGCCAACCAAGGTCATCAAAGAAAAGAAAGAAAAGTCTGAGAAACTGCCACAACTAAAAGAGCTTAAGTAGCCAAGAAAACTAAATGTAATGTGTTATGGGATGAGATTGGGCATTGTGGAACAGAAAAAGAACATTAGGTAAAAACTAAGAAAGTCTGAATAAACTGTGGACTTTATAGTTAATAATAATGTATCAATATTTATTCAATAATTGTAACAAGTGTGCCATACTAATGCGAGATGTCAATAATAGAGGAAATTTAGTGCAGGGAATATGGGAACTCTTGGTACTACTATCGTCTCAATTTTTTTGTAAACCTAAAAACTATTTTGAAAAATAAAGTCCATTAAAAATATATAGAGACAGAAATACAAAAAAAACCTGCAAGAGCAAAAGAAAACCAAAATAAGGAGTCCAGAAATAGACCCACACTTACACAATCAATTGATTTTTGACAAAGGACCAAAGCAATTCTGGGGGTAAGTGTTTTCAATAAATATTGCTGGAACAATTGAATAGCCATGTGAAAAACCATGAAACTCAACCATTTACCTCACACCATATATAATTAATTAATCTCAGGTGGATCAAATAAAAGGTAAAATTATAAAGCTTCAGGAAGAAAACAGAATCTCCATAACTGGGAGTAGCAAAGATTTCTTAGATAGGCTAGAAAGCAATAACCATAAAATAAACACAATAGTAAATTAGTATTATGAAAATTAACGACTTCTCATTAAACAACACTATTAAGGAAAACAGAGTTGATAACAAATAGATTGTTTATTTTGAAACAAAGTTAAAAATAAACAAAAGTATACACACACACACACACACACACACACACACACACACACAGAGACAAAGCTGACAAAGAACTTGTATCTCCAAAATGTATCAAGAACTCGAACTCAACAATAAAAAGACAAATACAATTTTAAAAAACAGATTTCACAAAGCAAGCTATAAAATAGCCAATAAGTATGTGAAAAAATGTTCCACATCATTAGTTAACAAGGAAATGAAAAATTAAAACCACAGACATACCCACGCAACGAAATGGCTAAAATTAAAGACTGATAACGTCAAAAGTTGGTGAGGTTATGGAGCACCCAGAACTCTCATACTTCGTTGGTGAGCATTAAATGGTACAGCCTCCCTGGAGAAAGGTCTGACAAGCTTCTTGTATGATGAGCACACAGTCGCACCAACCCTATGACCCAGCGGTTGCACTCCTAGGTGGTTATCCAAGAGAAAGGAAAACATATGTCCACAGGAAGACTTGTTAAAAAAAGGATTCATAGCCGTTTTTTCATGATAGCCCCAAACTGGAGGCAGTCCATGTGTTCACCAATAGAATAAATGTGGCATATTCATAGAATGGAATTCAATGTAATGATAACAAGCAAGACCTAGATTAGCAATGAGCACACCTGGAACCCAGATCTTGGTTTCTGAATGTCATTTCCACTAAAAGGAACCAGGCTTTTTGGGGAAAAAACTGATTCCTGAGACTGGGGCTGGGAAAGAGTGAGACAAGTCTGGACCATCTTGTTATGTCAGAAAGTAAAAAAGTGCTTCAAGAAGGATGGGAATATGTCAACGGAATACAAGAAGCATCTTAAAAAAGGGTTCCCACAAGACAAATCTGAGAGCATAAAATAATAATAGTACTGATTCTAAGTCACTGAATAAGAACCTCTGAGTTCATACTAACATAAACTAGTAAGTAGGGAAGAAGAGGAAGTTCTTCCTTACTGCATAGCGCCAACTTATGAACATAGAAACAAAAACAGTTAGGAAATAACCACTGGTGGCTGAAAGCTTAATGAGGAACCAGATAAATAGGAGTTTCATGGTGGACAGACTTGGTGATACAACATCATGTCCCTCCTGACGAGATTCACCAAGGACACGTCTTTTCTCAGGCACTTCAGACAAAAAGGAATCATCTGAATCTAATAATTAAGAAATATCAGGGAAAAAACCCAATTACTAGCCTGTACTTTTTTCTTCTTTTAATATCAAGGTCAAGAAAGACAAAGAAAGGCTAAGAAATGGTTCCAGAGTGAAGGTGAATAAAGAAACATGACAAGTAAATGCAGCGCCTGGTCCTGGATTGGATACTAGACTGGGGGGAAAGTAGCCATAACATCAGTGGAATAACTGACAAATTTTTAAAATTTAAAAATTTCATCAGACAGTATCATGTTGACAAAAATCCTCCAGATTACATAATAGATTGTATCAACTGTCAAATTTCCTGATTTTGGTATTTATTCTGTGACTACATATAAAAACATTCTTGATCTTAGGAAACACACTGAAATTTTGCAGGGAAAAAAGGCATGCTGTCTCCAACTTACTTTCCAATGTCTTAGGGGAAAACATACATACAACACACATACATATACATACACCTAGAGACAGAGCTCAAACGACAAGGCAAACGGGGCAAAATGTAAGCAACGGGTGAATCCAGGTAAAAGCACGCACAGAAAGGTGTTCTTTGTGTTATTCTTGCAACTTTTCTGTAGGCTTTTGATTCATCAAAACCAAAAGGTTACCAAAACACATACACACATACATAATTGTAATTATTCTCCATTTAATATGAGGAAACAATAGCTCAGGGATATTAAGAGACTTTCTCAGCCACAAAACTATTAAGAGGCAGGCTTAGAATTTGAATGCAGGCTTCTGACAACAAACCTTTCCTGTATCACTGCCCACTCCCATCAGACATTAGCCAACAAATTACCCCCGTCTTAAGCATATATGTAGACCACAAACACTTCCCTATTCCCTTAGCTTGCTGCCCTCCCTTCTAACCAATCTCCCAACTCCCCTTGCAACAGGTCAAACATGCAAAGCGTGATCCCTCCTCAGGGCCTCTGCACTCTCTACTCCTGTCTGGAGTGCTCTTCTCCCAGAGATCAGCAGAGCACACTCTCATCCTTCTCTACTCCCTCCACTATCACCTTAGAAAGTGCTTCTGTTCTTGCCCTAAATATAGCAGCTGGCGTTCCTCCCTCCAGTCTCAATTCCCCTTACCCTGCTTCGTTTTTCTCAGCATTGACCACACTCTGACATGTTATATATTTCTTTCCTGACAGAATATGGGTTCCACAAGAATGGGGACTGCATCTATTTTTTGTTTGTTGCTATACATATTTGTAATTCTCATAATAGTTCTAATAGTTCTAATAATAGCGTGGCATGCATATGCCATGTTTGAAAAATATTTATTGAATGACTACATAAATGAACAAATGCATGTGATCCCAATTAAATATGCAACAGAATTTTCCTGAAAATCGATCATCTCTACATATATATTGAATAAAGGTGCACATATAGCTAGATTACTATTAAAATGAAAAAGGGGTGCTCACTCTACACGATATTCAGTTGCAAAGCTACAGTAACTAAGTCTGATGCAGTTATGGGAATACACAGATCACTAAAACAGAACCAAGTCCACAGACTCCAGCAAATGCGGGCACATGGCGGGGTGACAGAGTAGAAGCACCAATCAACTGGGAAAGACTCCTAATGGTGTTGGGGTAACTGTTTCACCACATGGAAAAAAATATAAAATTGAATCCTGACCCTTTATCATATAAAAATAAATTCCAGGTAATTTAAAGATTTAACATTCAAAAAATCCTCTAAAGCTCTAAGAAAAAATGATATTACTACATGACCTCATGATAGAGAAGGCTTCTTAAAGACACCAAAACAAACCCCACGGACCATAAAGAACAAGATATATCAGTTTGACTTAAAAATTAAAACACTTATATGAAAAAAATACATGATAAACATGTAAAAGGCAAGAGAACTGGAAGGTATTTGCAATGTTACTCCTGAAACTCACTAAGAAAAGGCCAAACAGCCCAAGAGAAAACCAGACAAAAAAACATATGCTGGTGATTTACCAGTGAAGAAATCCTAATTGTCAATACACACATGAAAAAAAAAAAATGCCCAGACTCATTAGTAATCACAGAAAAGCTCATTAAAATAATGACAATATTTTTCTCTCATCAGAATAAAATTTCATCAGACAGTATCAAATGTTGTAAAGATGTAGAAAATAGGAACTTTTGAATTATGTTAGTGAGGCTGAAAAATAGTACAGCCGTTTTGAAGAACCATTTAGCTCAAATTGGAGATACACATTTTTTATGACACAGCGTGATGAGAGATGCAAAAGGCTGTTCCCTGCAGCACCGTCTGCATAGGAAAATGGTGAATATACCTAAATGTCCACTAATAGAATAATTAAACAAAATTTGCCATATTTATTCAATAGAATACAGTCGTTATAAGTAAATAGATGTATACATATCAACATAGACAGTCCCAAGATATAATAAGTAAAAATAAAGGATACAGCTTGCTGATATTTGCGTACATTTTTAAACAATACCATTTCTTTATAATACCAGATGAAAACATAAAGAAAGGATGACAGTACATACAGACTCATTGTGGTGGTTGCCTCAATAGAGTACAAGATGGGGAATTTTACTTACATCTCAACCTGTATTTCATAAAAAGGGGGTGGTATTACTTCTGGATGGTGGGAATGTGGATATTTATCACTTGTCCCTTTTGGTTATGTTTTCAATTTTCCATTTGCAGCTACTTCCTCTGTGCTCACCTACACGCTGTGTTCCAGCACCGGCAGGCAAACTGGTGGTGCTAACACACTGAGAACAGCATGATGCTGAACTTTATGCATGATTTAAATCATGTTCAAAGTAAATGTTGACTCTACATGATTTTAGCCTTAACTGACAAACTTTAGCATTAATCTTCTTATAAGCTGAGACTCACAGCATTCATTAACGTGAGAACTGAAAAGCAAACTACAGGTAACCACCCGTCTTCATTTAGCTAAGGACTTTTGAGGGCGCAATCCTATGTACAGTTACATTAGCCAAAATTCCTTTTCTCCAGTGCCATCTGGTGGAGAAAAGAGGCAACCTCATCTGTACCTTCCACCAAAACCCAACAGTTGTGGTTATCAGAGCACCATTTTTCAAAGCGCCCACTTTTATTCCGAGGTTACTGTGCTATGGTATACTAGTGTTTGCTTTCTCTTGAGTCTTCCTCAAACTAAATTCTTCAGCCTACAGGTTAGATAAGATAGAGCTTTATCCTCTCCTGTTCAGATTCCTTCTTTAATGTTTTTAAATCAAGTGATGCTTTGACTTCTTCCTCACCAGACCACTCTGCCATCATAATCTGCATTCATCCACATTTCAAACCCTCTCAACAATTCCAACAGTTGATTTCTGTATTAAAAATTTGGTTTCAGTTTGCTTTATATAAACTTATGATGGTAAGCATGCTTCATTTAATGGACTTTTAAAATATATCATATTGTCACTATAAATATGCAGTCGGAATTATAAATAGTTCCTTCTTCCAAACACTGGGCTGAGATAGTACAAAACATACAGTATCTTACCAAGAGCCCATAAAATACGCTAGGTTTTTCAGACATTAAAGAAAAATATCAACATAAAAAAGGGAATAAAACAGAGTAACCAGGTTATTAGTCCCCCAATTTGCGATACTGAGTTCCTTCATCCATTTACAATCCAGAGACATAGCTAAGCGGGGTGGTAAAAATATCCTGGAACTCAGACAAAAGAAGTCACTTCTATAATAAATGATTTTCCATTAGTGTTTTATGTGGCTATGATTCCATTCGAGCTTTATAACCTGCCGCGACAGACAGCTTATTAACTGTTTCCACATGAGCGCTAGCCGAGGGTGGAAATACATATAGTCAAAGGCACGCCCTCCCTCAGAGGCTCAATATTGTTAATTTTGATGTAGATTTAAAATTAGGGAGCTTCACTCACTCCACTCAGATGATCGTGTAGGTTCATACAAACACATTGAATTGTTGGTTTAGATTCCATTCCTTTCTCAAAGTCTATGATAAAGAGGCTAATCCCTGTATTGGGGCTGACCGATATAAGCTCGGATTTGCTCACGGTTGCTGGTAAGGAACACTTAAGGTCAGTCAGAAAATAACTGAACAGGCTTTTCATGTAGGCGCCGTGACTCACGACTAAGACACTGGCTGCTAATCCTTGAGCGCCACTGTCTGAGTTAAATGTGGAGGCACAGTTTTTCCCTAAAGGGAATATCTCGGCCAGAGAAGCTTCCAGGCAGTTGCTTGGAGTTCCTGGGGGACACTGTTCTTTTTGACCTGCTTCCTTCAGGATCAGTTGACAAAGAAACTCAAAGAAGTCTTTTCCACGCATCTTCACCTACAATGGAAGAAAGAAAAGGTGAAATAAGGTGACATTAATGACGGTCTTGAAACATAAACATAAAACATAACTGATTGGATTTTTCTAATATGTCAACGTAAGTACTACATAAGCAGATGAAACTCTGTGTTTCTATTCATTCAATGAGTAGTTCCACGGACATTAGTAAGTGCCCGCCTTTGTTCTTGAACTGTGGAAGCACATTGGGGACAAAGGCTAAGATACGATTCCTTATTCCTGACTTCAAAGCACTCAGAGTCTAGTTAGGGAAATCTACAAGTAAACAAAAGCCCATAAAACAGCGTTAACTAGGAAACTACATCTGACACTTGGTTCAGTTAGAACCACAAGGACAAATAAGATCTTTCCTTTAATAAATGAATAAAAACTCTTTACAAGAAAACTGTGAAAATGAAGACTAGGGGAAAAAAATCACCAATAACGCAATTCAAAAGCAGAATGCTCCAAAACATAAGCGCAATCAAGGGGACGCACCGCTTTACGGAGCTGGGGGGCAGGAGAGGCCTGAGAATTCCCGGCCTTGAGTTATCTGGCCTCTGCTTTACTGACTACCATACCACTGCTGCAGTAATGCTTCATATTCAGAGTTTTCTTAACAGCAACATCTAGTAACACATCCTTTAAATCCATTATCAGTTACAACTGCCAATTTAACAGTCAACGAGAAAGACAGGATAGCTTTTCAAAAAATGATGTCTCACAGCGTTGTTTTATGAACCAAATGACTTTCAAACGGCTAAAATTTGGCAACATCTACTTTACACACACAAAAAAAAGCCGTATTTCAGCTACTGTGAGGTGGGCAAGCTCATCAGCCTGGCAGCTTGCCCCAGGGCCACGCACCTGGTCTAAGGTCTCTCCTCCAGGCGGCGTGAACACAGGACACTCCTCCCCAGCTGCTTTGGCCATCGCTCTGAGCTCACTCAGCGCCCGGCTCTCTGCAACCCCGTATTTCTGCAATGGGCCAACAGACAAAAGTGCCTCCAATGAATTTGCAATAGAACAATTAAGTACAAGTGTATGACAAATTTAGAGCAATCACCCCAGGAAGCAGTGTGGTTTCCTTCTACTTACTTTATTATATCTCCTCTGAACTAACAATTCGCCATAATGATAATGGATTACTTGCATAATCAAATATTTAAAGAGACAAGTCATTATTTATGGTTTGCACTGATGACACCAGAAGATTCTAACACCACCATCCAACAGAGTCCAATAGTAAAAGACTATTTTTTATGAGAGTATGTGCACATTTTGCCTGGTGCTCTTAACCAATCCTCAAGTCTAAATTCTTACATCCTCAATTATACCTGGAGTGACCTCTATTACAAAGAGGAACATTAATAATCATCACTTGCTTTGTTTTTTTCAAAAATGGAAACATCTATTGGTTAAATATTCCAAACGCTGCACTGAAGCAGCATGACAGGCAATGAGGCCAGAGCAGAGGACAGCAGGGTGGCTGTGTCTCCGCCGCTGTTGAGATCGTGGTGTGCTGGGGGTACTAATGGAGAAACGGTTCTGGGTAAGTGCCACGATAGAGGGAAATCCTGGATACAGACACACACACACACACACACACACACACACACACACACACACACACACACACAGCAGACCTGGACCTGGGAATGACACAAGGCCAAACCCTTGTGCCAGGTTTAGGAAACAAGCATTCCAGAGTCTTCTGGGTACAGATTCTGAAATTTGATGACGAAAAGAGCACAGGGTGTTTGGGCAACTCCAAGAAGATCCTTGAGAGGCACGTGACCTGTGGTCCAGAGCATGGACTCCAGAGCCAGGCAGCCTCGATTTTAATCTGAGCTCTGCCACAAACCAGCTCTGTGGCCCTGAGCGTGGACTGAGCTCTTTGCGCCTTTGTTTCTGCATCTGTAAAATAGGGGCTAAAAAATGAGGTTTTTATATCTTCACAACATCAGGCTGTTGTGAAGATTAATAAACCTGCGGCACTTGGGACAGTGCCAGAATGTGGTGAGCACCGAGTAATGCTCATTAATATTACTACTAAGGCTGGGCACCAGGCACAAGGGACGAGGAGGGAGGCAGGCAGAGGCAACCAATCAGATCACACAGCATGGGAGAGCCAGGTAAGGGCCTGGACAACCTTTGAAGATCAAAGAGAAGTAGTAAGGGCCGGCTGAGTGGCTCAGTTGGTTATGAGCACGAGCTCTGAGCAAAAGGGTTGCTGGGTAGATTCCCACATGGGCTAGTGAGCTGCACCTGAGCTGAGCTGCCAACAGGTGGCAGGATGGCTCAGCTGGTGAGAGCATGTGCTCCTAACATCAAGGTTGAAAAAAAAAGAGAGAGAAAAGTAGTGAACTGTTTCATACAGGGGTGTAGCAACAAAATTTCCTAAAGGTAACTCTGGCCTGCAGTGTGGAGATTAGATTAGAAAAGGGTGTGCAGGGAAATTAGGGATTAGGGGAATCCAGATGACATTGAATTGCAATAGGATGGCAGCAGTGGGCTGGCAGAGAAAGGAAGGATTCAAGAACTATTTGCAGGAAGAACTGACAAGATGATGATAGGATGCGCAGTGTGAGAGACAATGAAGAATGAATAGCTGAAGCAATTGGGAAACTCAGGAGCCAGGTGGAGAAAGAAGCGTGCACTCCACTGAGCAGCAGCTGTGGGCATTCGAACGGATATAAACTGAGGGTGCAGATCGGGTAAGAAACCAAAGGTAAAAATACCTATCTGGAAATCATCAGCCCATTAACTGAAGTCACAAGAGAGGACAGAGCCACTCAGCGCAAGCGCACAGAGGGAGGAGAGAAGAGAGGGCCCCGCCTGATGCCAGCGCTGGCTCCTGTGCAGGTACCTGCTCCGCATCCCACTGAATGCAGAATGCGTTTGTCTGACATCTGATCACTGGTTCTTGGGCACAGAGTGAGCCTTTCCAAGTAGTATTTATGCTAGAGCTCTAGTATATATGTTGAATTTTAACAGAGAACACATGCAGGTTAAGAAAAGCTATTCTTTAAAGATGCCCGAGCCATTCTGTTACAATTCTGTACAGAAGGATTCACAGAGCTGGCAGGGACATTTACCAGCTCATAGGTCGGCGTTACAGAGCATAACAAAAATACTGCTCTAGAAGGAGGCTTGGAGTCAAATCTCTGGTGTAAATTGTTGTATGGCTTTTGCTAAATCACAGTTTCAGGAAGATTCATTTCTGGCTATTTATGCTTAAAACCAGGGAGTAGGATTGGGAGAGAACTTTTCACTTTTAGTTTAAACTCTTCTGTACTGTGTTAAGTTCTTACGAGGATACCTGCTTTTATAATCTAAGATGTATATCATATGATTTTAATTTTTTAATAATTAAATAAGATACTGTCTATGAGAGTCCATAACAGTGACTGTTACATCACAGACTGTTAACAGATGTTAGCTGTTTCCACATCCCTGACAGGAATGCATTTAGTTTTTAGCCATGTGATAAACTGATGTGGTTATTGATCATTTAGGGTGAAGAAGAATAAGTTACTTACTCTTTCTCTAAGTCTTGAATCATACTTGACTGTCATATCTTTGCAAAATTTGCTCTTCTCCAAAATCCCATGCACGGTCTGAAAATCAAAAGACAACTGTTTCCTTCTCATAAAAATAATCATTCTTGTCAAAACGTTAAAATCATTTATGCCTTCTTAGTGAATGAAAAAGAACTAGAAATAATTTCGCTTTGCGAAAGTTGCTGCTTTGTACTGCTCGGTCCTTTCTCTCTTCATGCCCGATTTTCGTATTTCCTTCTATCCTGTGTTCTAGTTCAGAGGTCAGCAAACTACAGCCTACAAGCCAAATCTAGACCATCACTAGTTTTTGTAAATAAAGTTTTATTAGAACACAGCCATTCATGTATTGTTTATGGCTACTTTCACAGCACAATAGCAGAGTTGAACAGCTCTGACAGAGCATATATGTATATATACTTTGTCCCAAGAAACCTTTATATTTTTCTCCTGTTTTTTTTCTTATAGACGTTTTATAGATTTAGCTTTTATATTTGTTCTATGATCAACTGCAAGTTAACTTTTGTGTATTATGTGAGTTAAGAGTCAAAAGTTCATGTTTTTCCATATGGGTAGCCCATTGTTTTAGCACCCTTTATTGAAAAGACTACCCTTTAAATCACTGAATTACACTGGCACCGTTGTCAAAAGTCAACTGACCAAAAAAAATCCTCGAAAACAACTAACCATATAAGTGTGGGTCTGTTTTAGGTCCCTCTACTTATCTTTTTTTTTTTAAAAAAAAGGTTTTTTATTGGGGAATTGGGGGAGGGGAACAATGTTGGGGAATCGGAGAAGGGGAATAGACAAGTTGCTGTCCTTTTGTTCTTCAGTCTAGTTGTGGAGGATGTTGCTTCACTGGCCCATGTTGGTATTATCATTGCGCTCTTCCCAGGTGAGGCAGATCAGTCGCCGGCCACTGGAAGGCTGCTCACGGCAGCTCTTGGCAGCTCATGCTGGCTGCTGGCTGCTCACAGCTCATGGCAGCCTCACTGCAGCCTACGCCGTCACCGGCAACTCACAGCAGCCCAGCGCCAGGTCGAGCTGTTGTTCACCATCTTAGCTGTAGAGGGTGCAGCGTCACTGGCCCTCATGTGGGATCCAAACCGGGGCGCTGCTGCTCAGAGCTGGCGTCCCAAGCCAGCTCTTAACCAAGGCGCCACTCGGCTGGCCCCGCTACTTATCTTTATACTCACCCCCCTCCCCCACTTCCCTTTTGGGACTTCAACTACATGTATATTAAATTGCTTAATATTGTCCTATACTTCATCGAGACTCTTCATTTTTCCTTTTTTAGTCATTTTTTTCTATCACTTTTAGAATATTGTGGTTTCTATGTCTACGTGTTCACTGACCTCTTCATCTACAGTGTCTAGTCTGCTGTTAATCCCATCCTGTGAAATTTTAATTTCAGAATATTGTATTTTTCATCTCTAGAAAATGAATTTGGTTCTTTTTTTATATCTTCTGTTTCTCTCCTCATTATGTTCCCCTAAGGATAGGTTAGCCTCATGATTAAGGTGTAATCCTTGTAATATCTCTACTGTATGTTCTATGTATTCAACAACATCTCTCTACTTTGGTTGGTGGGAACCCAAATTGATTTCCAGATGATGAGAGCGCTAGTTATTGTTCAGCTTACAACTTTCCAACAATTGCTCTCTCCCCTGAAGTTGTGTTTTGTCTGGCCTCATGTAGTTTCGCCCTACACGTCAGGTCAATATCCCACCAAAGATTTAAGGGTGTCCCTGTACAGTTCTTTCTCTGGGAGGCTCTCTCTTCCAGTGCTCTGCCCCACAAATTTTAGTTATTTAACCTTCCCAAACTCCAAGCTTGGTCTTCTAATTCACTGAGACCACTGGGCTCTATTTGGCTTCTCCTACCCAAGTCTGGAAATTGCTTCAGCTGTAAACGGACAAGCCTAGGGTTCACCTCATTCATTTTACTTCATCTGGCGACCATACACCCACACTGCCTGAAGTCCAATGTCTGAAAAGAGTTGTTTCACAAATTTTATCCTGTTTTCTAGTTGTTTATGAGGGGAGGCTGAACTCCAACCTTGTTATTCCCTCACAGTTGTCACACAAGTCTCCTTCCATTGAGCTTTTAGAAGTTGCTTTGGTTCTTTTTTAAATCTCTGGAGTCGTTTTATAATAATTTGTTCCCTCAAGATATTTCAAACATGCCTTTTATTTCTTTATAGTAACATCATTTGTTTGTTTTAACGCTATCTAGTAATTCCAATACCTGGGGTCTTTGTAGGTTAAATTCTCCTGTCTAGTGTTTCTGATGGCTCTCTCTCATGATACCTTCTTTGTCCTTTTTTAGACATTTTGTTAGACTTTTCCCAAACTACTCTAAATTAAAAATTACCAAAATAAAGAAAAATGAAAAAAAAAAATAGAAGAAGAAGTAAGTCCTGTGGAGAGGAGGAGACGATTGGGGGTGATATCTGTGTGAAATTTAATTCCCTACAGAATCTGATAGCATTTTTCAAGGTTACGACTGGTGAGTATTTTGACTCATCAGCCTAAACCTTGACTCTAAACTTACCTGCTTTGTCCTTGTGAGATCACTGGAGAAAATATGAGTAAACTTCACATTATTAAAAAATATACCAGTAGCAGCTGCTTGTTTAAATCCAGTTTCTGAAAGCGGAGCATCTACTCCTTGTCCTATGGTATTAAGAGAAGGAACAATACCATTTAAATATATATACATGTACATATATATGCAAATTATATCATGTTTAAGAGAATATAAATAGCACTTATCTATATTTTATTGAAATATTTCCTTGGGTACTTTTCCACATAACTTTTCAGAGAACTGACAACAAGTAAAATGAAGCTATAATCCTATAAAAGCTCAGATATTCAAATGTTTCCTCAAAAGAATGTTTGCCTAATGGGAATTAGATGAAAATGAGAATTCAAATGTCTCCAGCTTTCCGCTTTCACATCTGCCCATGCCTTCATTAGCTATATTTTATTAATGCTGGCTCTGATCTTATATTCTCAACTCAGGTGTTATGTTTGGGGAGCAGGATCATTACCTAAGAAAGTTTTTCCTTCTTTATCTCCATTGTGCAAACATTCTGTATTATATTACTTCCGTTCCCTCCTTTCTTCCTTCTTTCCGTGCTTCCTTTTCCTTTTTCACTTAAAAAACACTTTGGAACCACTATTTCCAGGAGAAAGGCTGATAATAATACTCTGAAGGATCCTTCTACTACAAAAGAAGTGTAAGTGTGTGTGTGTGTGTGTGTGTGTGTGTGTGTGTGTGTGTGTTGCATTCCTGGGATCACAGGATATAAGGAAAATCTCTAAGAGACAAAGCGAAGCAACAACAACAAAAAAACCTGAGCTGAAACCTTAATATTAACATGAGAAAATGGAGTTGCTGAGTGTAATTGGGGGTGGGAGGTTGGGGTTGCATGAAACAGCAAGGTGAGAGAACTGGAGAGCTGAACCCAATATTCCTGGAAGCCAGGAATCCTGTAAAGAGGCTAATGTAGTCTGAGGTCAGTGGTCAAATCAAATGCAAATCATCTTCAATAAAGGCTAACAAGTTTTCTACTAATTTAGAACATATAATAGTTCAAAGATTTAACACAAAAAAAATTAATCCATCATAAATGAAAGTCACAGAAATAATAAGTAACAGATTTCGAACCATTAACACTTCAGACATTGAAATCAGCAAATACAAACTATAAAATAACTATGAATAAAACACAAAGGCAGAATCACAAAAATAAACATAACAAGAAGTCATCAAAAACAACCAGACAGCTTTCAAGAAAACCAAACAGATCTTTTAATAATGAAAAACAGAATTGCTGAGTGAGAAAAAATTCCCTCAATGGATACAGGGAGATCCAGTTGCAGGGAGGCTTAATAAACATCCAGACAGGCCTGAAGTCATTACCCAGAATGCACCACGGATAAGGATGGAACATGTCTCTGATATACTAGAGAAAATGACGGAAAGAATGAGCATTCCTAACTTACATCTAATTAGAATTCCAGGAAGAGATGAAAGAAAACGGAGGAAAGAAAATATGAAGAGATAATGGTTGAGAATTTTCCAGAAATCTACAGATTAAGGGAACGAAATGTACATCAAGCAGGATAAATTAAAAAAAAAAAATTCCTCATAAATACTATATTAAGGGAAACTGTTGAATAACAAAATCAAAGGCAAGATTTTGAAAGCAGTTACAGAGAAAGACAAATTACTTGCCATGGAACACCATTTGGCTGACAGAAGACTTCTTAACAGGAACAACAGAAGCCAAAAAACAGTAAAATAATATCTCCCAGGTGCTAAGAGAACAGTCAGTCTAGAATTATATACACTAAAAGTGATTAAATAGAATAAAAGCAGAACTGTTTAGGCAGCTGTCTACTTGAGACTCTGCCCCTGGCAACTCCTCTGCCAGTGTTTCTCTTCTTACATAAACTTTCTAACTTCTAAAAAAACAAAAAAAAAAACAAAAAAAATACAGAACTGTCTAAGGGGGTGGGGAGTGGCAGATGAAGGTAAAGGGGGTCAACTATATGGTGACAGAAGGAGAACTGACTCTGGGTGGTGAACACACAAAGATGATGTATTATAGAACTGTACACTTGAAACCTATGTAAGTTTACTAACCATTGTCACCCAACAAACTTTAATTAAAAAAAAAAAAAAACAGAACTGTCTAGAACAAAAATGATTGAAACTATTTTTATCACCAACAGATCTACACTAGGAGAATTTTCAAAGCGGATACTTCAGGAATGAAGGTCTGGGATACAAAAGAAATGACAAGAGAAATTGGAAAATATATATGTAAATGTGAACAAACATTGTCTAAATAGCAAATTGAATACTAAACACTAAGTCCTGTGGTTAAAAAAGCATAATACTATGATACTAAACAATAGTAACACAAGTTGTTTGTATTTTTCATGAGAAAGGGATATTAATCTTATACTTTATTAAGTGTGAATGGTAAAAATTTAAAAGTATCCATGAAAATAATAGAAATGGTTTATCATTTCAAAGCCAGCAGGGAAGGTAAGAAGGGGTTGGATAAGGAAAAGAAACAAGTGCTTAAGAAGTAAAAGCAAGTAAAAACAAAAAGGAAAACTAGAATAAGATGGGAGAACAAAACATCAAAGGAAAAAGGCCAAACATGTCGGTAACCAGACAAAAGTAAATAGATGACTCCTGCCAATAAAGACAGATTATATTTTTTAAAAGAAGAACCAGAATCAGCTACCTAGTATTTATGAGGTAATGACACTAAGTGTCAATACACAGAAAGGTTGAAAGGAAAGCTACGGAAAAATATATCCCAGGCAAATTCCAACCCCGAAACAGCTGGAGTAGCAACATCACTCCCAGCAATGCAGGACTTGGTGATCAGGTCTCAGGAAGGAATGTGAGGATCCCTATAAATAATCAGTGATCCAAGTTACTAGGAAGATATAACATTTTTACACTTGTCTGTGCCTAACAAAATAGCCTCTAACTAGGTAATAGCAGAACATGCAAAGCACAAATTACTAGAATTTCAGGTATTAAAGGGTAAATTAGCCATCAGAGTCAGAAATTCCACATTCCTCATTCATAAATTGATATTTAGGTCATGCAGGCAAATTAGTAAATTTACAAAATTAGTAAAGTATAAAAGATTTGAACAAAAAAAAAATGAAGGTTGATTATTTGATATGTAACTTCAAGCCCAACAACTAGAAAACAGATTTTTTTTCTCAAGCACATTATGGTAGATTTATAAAAACTGACCACGTTAAGAAATTTCAAAGAAGTATTATCAAATAAACCATACTGTCAGAACACAAGCAATTACACTGTAAGTCAGTCATAAAAGATGAAGAACAACAACAACAACAATCAAACCCAGTCACTGGGAAATTTAAAAAATAGTTCTAAATAACTCATAGGTCAACAAAGAAATCCTAATAGAAATTTAAGATACTTGGTGTTGAATACTTATAAAATTACTACATAACAAAACTATAGGTCTGCAACCAAAATTGTATTTAGAAATATATAGCCTTGAATGCTTAAAAAAAAAAAATGGCTGTAACTTAAAAAACTAAGCATCTAACTTACAATGTTAGAGAAAGAACACAAACAAACCTAAAAATACAAGTGTGAACACAAAAACTTTTATTCATGTTTTGTTGTCGACTTCTAAGGAAATGAGACAAATGAGCAGCACCAAAGGACAAGGTGGTCAGGGACACAAGTCTAAGGGATAACTGGGGCCGGCGGGGTCACAGGTCATTGGAAAACAAAGGTTCACTTAATTATTAGTTTCCAGAAGAGGGAGTCAGGCACACGGGGTATGAAAATGGTTTCTGTAAATCCCAGATGTCCCTAACCAAAAAAATAAAACATAAAACTTTTATAATCACAGCACAGAAATAGCATGTCTAGCTGAAAGTTCACCAAAATATTCTTTAAAAGCCAGACTAGCTGGATCATAGTGAGATTAAAAGATCTGAGCCCAAATTAACACAAGGGAGGGAGAATCTGTTCTGAATAAAGTAACCATCCCATGTGAGTACAGTTCTTTTTTAAACCTCCTTGTTACTACTAAAATTAAAACATCTTAGCAGAAAAACACCATTAACACCAGCCAGCAAACTTTGTTTCCAAATATAAAATCATCTTAATGCCGGCAGTTATATTTTAAGACCATTTATTTAATCAGCTGCCTGGGCCATTCTGAAGCCACCCATAACGTGGAATACCGTTCTTCACATCCCCTTCACTTAGGGGTCTTATTCCTCTTGGTTACCATCTGCTCTGACCATATTTCCGTGGCTATGATGCTTTACTTCTGTCATCCCCGCTCACCAGACAGAGCTGCCCCAGGGCGCCCTGGTCCACCGAATCTGATGTGCTCACATATCACATTTACACTAAAGAAGAGAGCTGAAAATAACAGTGTACCAACCTTGAATGATTTTCTCCTTGTTCAATCTTGTTTCTCCACTAAAATAGAGAGGGTGGGGGGAAAAAACCCTTTATTACCAAATTAGGTTATTTTTGAGATGAGAAAAAGAATCTGCAATGAAAGGTAACAATATTCATAAAGATAGATATGAACCTTGTAACATACTTCATAATCTAACCTGTAAAATTTATTCTGAATATTTGCAATCATCTAATGTACTTTATTGATGAGCTAAGAATTTCAAACTGCCCAAATTAAAATATATAGACCATGAATCAATCTTAGGTGAATTGCAGGTGGAATAGTCTATTAAAAAACATATATGTATATATTAATTTCGTTAACTATCCTTATTAAAACAAGTATGTTAACCAAAATGGCTTGCACAGGCAGCAGCACCAACACACAGAGTGAGCACGTGCAGGGACAGTGAGTGGGGTGGGAAAGGCACGGGCCAAGCCTGCAGACCCCACCTCCTCCTGGGCCCCAGGTCTTCCATGTTGTATCTTGAAGGCCATGCTGAAGAACTGAGGTTTGGGTAATACATTTTTTAGAATTAAAAAACCAAACCAAACAAATTTTGAAGCAACCAGAAAAGTCAAAGGACCACAAACTGTGTCACAAAATAATAGCCAATGGAGACTGGAGGGGGAAGACAGCAGGGGTACACCGACAAGACTGAATGAGAGGGAGGAACGACAGTAAAAGCCATCATCAAATACACGAAACGCTATCAAGGAGAATTCCGCTGAAACCTTGCTGAGCTCTTCTATGTGCTAAGCACACAGCTAGGTACTGCAGACACAGATGGTCCGTAGCTGCCCTGGAGAAAGGAGTTGGCTTGTTCTGTGCAGAAGCTGGACATAGAATTAGGAATGGGTGGTAAAAATAGTAAACAGATTCCTGCAGGACAAGTTATTTCCTCATTTGGAATCAAATGTCTACAGCCCATATTTATATCCTTCTATGTCAATGAGAGGTGAATATCTTTAAAGTAAACTTCATGGTCATATGTTGGGCTCAGAAACAAAAGTGCTTTGGCTCCACACTTACGAGCTGGGTTTAGCTTAAGTGCCTCAGTTTCCTTGTCTGTAAAATGAGGAGGGTAATAGTCTCTATCTCACAGGACTCTGGTAATAACTGAGTGACTGCAGGTAAAGTGTTTAGAATACTGCTTAGCTTTTGGTAAGCAGCCAATTGTTATATTTGTAAGTCACTTTTGCACAGAGCTTCACAGAAATCAGATTTAACTTAATGCATTTCTCTAACCTTTCAAAAATTGTGAAATAAACACTGAACAAATAACTGCAAAGCCAACACCCACATAACACCCCAAGTTAACAGATTGCTGCCAGCCTCCTAGGCCCCTTTCCAATCCGTGTCCTCCCACCCTCAGGGGATCCATTATCTGGACCTTTGGGGTGCTTGCCTTTCTTCACAGCCTTCCCACCCATGTAGCGCACAGATTAGCCTAGCTGTTGTTGAACTTTATAATGAATTGCTTCTTACTGTAAGTAGTCTTCTGTGTGTTGCTTCTTTTGTTCAACATTTTGAGATACATCAATGTTGCTGAATGTGGCTGTACTCCTTACATTCTCATTACTGTGTACTCCACCGTAAGAATTTACCACAGTCTCTTTATATGGTCCATTGTTGATGTATACTCAGTGTTTCCAGTTTGGGAATATGTTTGTGCACAGTGCATGAGATTCTCTAGGGCAGTAGTTCTCAAAGTGTGTCCCTGGACCAGCGCCAGTGGCATTGCCTGGAAACTCATGGGAAATGCAGGACCTACCCAAACACTGAATCAGAAACTCAGAGGCTAGGGCCCAGCAATCTTATTTTAATAAACCCACCAAATGATTCTGATGCACACTTATGTTTGAGAACCATTCAAGGATTTGCAAACAACTCTTCTTGTAAATAAAGTTTTACTGGGATACAGTCACACCCATTTGTATATACCGGGGGTGCCAAAAAAATGTATACAAGTGGACACTTTGGTTAACGTTGCTCAAGCAGTAGTTCGCCATAATCAGAAGTGTCTGGACGCTGATGGTAACCACTTTGAGCACCTCTGGTAATTGCAGAAGTCAAACGTGACTTGTATTCATCTTTTGTTATCGGTATATAGTATTATAATTTTAATACGGTTTTCCTTTCTTAAAATGTGTATACATTTTTCATTTTTTTTGGCACCGTCTGATTATGGTTATGGCTACTTTCACACAATAATAGTGGAGCTAAGCAGTTCAAACAGACTGTGTGGCCTGCAAAGCCTAAACAATTTACTATCTGGCCCTTTAATTAAAAGTTAGCTCACCCATGCCTAGTGATACACACTTAGCACTAGAATTGCTGGGTCATGGGGTGTGCCAATACTCAGCTTCATTAGATAATGCTGAAGTGCTTACACCAATTTATATCAATCTGCAGTGTTCTCCATCCTCACCATCACTTTGTGTCAATCTGACACCAGAACAATCTATCTCACCTTAATTTTATTTATTTATTTATTTATTTATTTATTTTAATCTCACCTTAATTTTAGTTTGTACTTCCCTATGAAGGCTGGTAACTCCTTTAGAAAAACAACAACAACAACAACAACAAAACAAAAAACAATTCACTTGGGCTTGAGCTACTCAGATCCAGGAAGGAACTCCACTGGACCTTAAAGTCAGAATCACAACTGAGGACTGTCTGGAACCTCGTCCCATGTTCACAGAAACAGAGTTGCCAGCCTCTGCCAGGAGCAGTGGTTCTCCCACTGGAGTGTGTATCAGAATCCCCTGGTGGGTTCACTAAAACACAGACCTGGCGCACACATGTGCTCGCTCTTCAAGACCCAGCACAGGCAGCCAGCTCTTTAGGGAGCCTTCCTTCCGGCCCTACCCACACCTACCATCCCATTTAAATGGCCCAGCGCCATGCTCACATTTTACCTGGGCACCACGAATGTAAGTAAGTTAACATCTGTGTGATAAGTAACTTTCTACCTGCCAGTCACCTGGCTCCAGTTCCTTAAAGGCACAGCCAGAAGCTGTACCCTCCTAACACGGAGAAAATCCTCGGAAGTAACAGAACCTGTGTGAGTGTACTCTGTCGTTGGACAGTCACCTAGAAATATTTTTCAAAATGACAAATCTGTTTACCCTTTAATCCAGCAACCTTATTAATTGGGAATACCTGCATTCGTTCATACTTAAAAGAATACTTGTTACAGTGTTATTTCTAATAACAAGAGATGGTAAATAACCTACATGTCTATGTTAACAGGGAGCTGGTTACATAAACAAATAAACAGCAGTGTATCTACATAATGGAATACTATGTAACTGCATGCACCCTAAAGAGAGATTGCATGGAAAGATCACCAAGATAAATTATTAAGTGGAAAAAGCAAGGTGCAGAATTTTTTAAAATCCAGCTGTTTAGAAAGGAGGGAAATAAGAATAAACATTTGTTGGATATGCACAAAGAAATACCGGAAGGATACACAAGGAACTAATAAATGTGGATCTGCGGGGTAAGAGGAGAACAGGGAGACTAGGGAGAATTGTATTGATTTCCAAATATGTGGATTTTATTAGTTTTAAAAAAATGTATGACAAGTGAAATTACACAGAACTATTTACCACTGATTTGCCATTAGCACTGCTGCTAATACTAATGAAAGATTTCTTATACTTCACTCAGAATCATGTGAAATGGATGTGAAAGACGATATTAACATCTACCATTCAGACGGATAAAACATCCAATTAGAAATTGTCATTTCTAGTACAGAAAATTGTTCTCAAACATTGGACTCACTTCCTGTCCCAGCCTCATAACCTTGCTGAGATCAAGAACAAAAGAACTGCTGTTTAAATACAAGTGACATCCTCTTTAGACAGTGGCTTTGTAGATAAATTCAATTTCCAGCAGAATTCAAAGAACTCCTCCCCTCCCATATTTACTTTTATACAGGAATCTCAAAAGGTTTTGCCTACTTTACGTGGATCACACACTCTCTTACTCATTTTATAAATTTAAAATCAAGGGTGAGGAGAAATTTAATAATTTGCCAGCCCAGGTCTTTACAAATCAGACAAATTCAACAGATAACTTCTTGTATGCTTGCTGAAAAGATAGCTCAAGATTTTAATTTAATCCCAATAGCTGATTTGATAAAATTCGGAATAAAAGATTATATCATCAAAATGTCATTCTATAAAAAAATGGAATCCCAGTACTTTGATAGTTTTGCAATGACACTGCCCCAACCACTGAACTATTTTTAGCAAAAGGAAAAAATATATAGTTATGATATAATGAAGGATTTCATTTAGCTATATAAGTCAGTAGAGACTGCTGCAGACGCTATTGCATTATTAACCATCACTTGCATTCTATTGGTCATTTTTGCCTTCAAATCACTTTATAAACATTACAGAGTAGGAATCTAGAAATAGAATTTTTTCCAAAAATGTTCATAAATATTTAGTTGTACAGCTTTTATCAGCTTTATCAAGAGGTTTGTATAAATCCTTGAAGCAACTGTTTAGTTTGTTTTGGGAGTGGGAAAGAAAAGTAGGTGGATAAAATAGTTTTACTATTAATCTGCATCCCTTAACCAAAGTCTGGCTTGTGACAGCGGCAGAGAAGGTAAGGTGGAGGGAGCTGAAAGGTCAGAGGAATATGTTTTGAAGGAGTCAGGAATAACACCACTCATTTTCAAAATCTGCAGTGTGATCCATTTCCAAAACAGAACACCCGACTCTGCAAGAATCCAAACACTTCTGCCAAGAAGTTAAGTCTTATGACCAGCCATTTATAGGCTACAAATATGTATCATTCACTTTCTAGATTATGACACTGTTCTTCACTTAAAAAGGTATTTGATTTTGTTAGCTCTGGTTTATATTCTATGGCATGTCTTTAGAAATCATACAGAAAGCTTAATTTCCCAAGCATATCCTTTTAAAGAATTCAAATTCAACAGACAAGCAAGCACTCAGTGTGCCACAAGAGAGAGACAAATCATGGGAAATTAGTATATATTTGGGACAAGGTTTCATTAGCATCATTAGCATACATGGAAATGTAAAACCTCATCTCATATTAATCGTGAATACAGCTTTATCCGGAGTCCTCTACACCACGTAAGTCATTTGAAAATATAGAAGATTTCAAGGGCCAGTAACATGAAGATTTTCCCTCGATGTTGTAGGGGAAAAAGAATGTAATACCCAACTCATGATATGTTTTTATATATAGATTGATCCTAAGTGCAAAGGCTAGGATCAAGCCCATTCCCAGGAAACAAATATCACAGTAACATAACAATTACAAATTATCTTTATAAAAGTTTACAGACGATCTAATATGTATTTTGCTTGCTTTATTAAGACCAGGACAATGATTAGCATTCAACAAAAAGTGAACTGATGCTAGAATAAGGAAAACATCAGTCTTGCTATCAATAAGTTTACTAATCCATCATCTTTAAGTCATTAAATTTTGTATGTAAAAAAGTTTTAAGAGCTAGTTAAACATGGAAGTGAAATGGGACGGTTTGTAGACAACTGATTGCAAACACCTACAAATAACATTTCAAGGGAACTAGAGCTTTCAATGTATTGTGTATGGGATGGAAATGCCAACCTACATACTGGAGTTTTCAACAATGCCATGCTATAAGATCATGAGAAATTACCGTTTAATAATATTAGTAGACTTGAAGTTTGCAATCTTGGGCAGTCTATTCCAAAAATGATACACAAGGTACTTTCACTTCCAAGTATAATGAAGAAATGTAAACACACATACAGTAACAACACAAGATTCATAAAGGATTTGGTTGAACTTAAAGAACTTGTTTTTAAAATCTTTCTTGCATTACCTGAAGAGGTACTGTTCAATAAAATTATCCAACTCTTATAAAATACTGACCATGCCATTATGTTTCAAGGTGTTTAACTATCTTACAGTTATACAGAATCAGGTAACAGAAAACACAAGTGCCTAGTCCCAGTATTATGCTAAATGACCCAATCTTGATGATTCTAATAAGTCATTATATTTAACTATGGTGATTATCAATCAAGTTTGAAGTAATTTCTCTTCCTGAAAGAATCATCCATTTTTAGCTTTGAGAATTCTGCAGGAGAAAAGAGAGATGGTCCAGACAGCAAAGCAGCGTACCATAATAACCCTATAAGTTGTATGGACACTTTTGTTCCACTTTCCCACAAATAAAACAGAATAACGCAAACTATTCTTATCACTCTTCATAATTCTATTAAGGGAAATAAAAAGTAGCCTCTAATTTGGCTAGTGACAGTCAAGTAATCTACAAATACTAGTCTTTAATTTAACAGGATGCAGAACAGTACAGTGGTTAAGAGGATGGTCATGTTACTTTGGTTCAAATCCTGCCTGAAAGCAAATTACATGCCTTCTGTGCCTGTTTCCTTACCTACAAATTGAGAAGCAATCTTTACCTCACTGGATTGGTCAAAGAATAATTACAACAGTGCCTGGCACATAATTTATTAAGGCATTTTTAAATTGATTTTTATATAAATCCTACGATGAATCAATTTTAAAAATCAAGCCCCTTTTAGGAATCAGGGAGGGGATAAAATCCACATTCATATAACTATTGTCTATTAAAAATCTAAATAGGGATCACCTGATTTTTCAAGGGGTGGTTTAACCTAGATTCCCTACAACTTCTGAGCTTCAGTGATATGCCAGCCTCTGTGCTGGCTGGATCAAAGGAGCCAGAAAGTGCTCTAAGGTTGGGAGAAAGGGCAATCAGGACTGTAATTCCTGTTCTGCTACTGATTAGCTGCATGACCTTAGGTAGATCATAAATGGTCGGAAAGAATTCTATAAAATGAAGAGGGGTGGGGAAGAAGAGATAGAGAGGAACTCCATTTCTAGTTTACTCATTAAAATCCTGTGATTCCTAAAGGGGCAATTTCAGATGATTCCCAAGATTATCTTCCTGTAAAAGAAAAACAGGACAGAAAAGATAGCAGTTAAAGTCAGCTTGACAAGGTTAAATCATATTAGTGTTTCTTGTGAGCTCCATGAAATAAAAAATGGAACGTTGTTTATCTATGTAACCCAGTCCACTGGCACATAGTACCTATTCAAAATGCTGCTTTGATAAACTATACATACATATTTGGGGGGATTAACTACACTTTTATTAGAGCTGTCCTTACAGAAAGAGAAGTTATTTAATTCTCAGGTATAGTTTTTTCCCGCCATTGTGCGATATACACTTTACCTTACTCCCATTTAATTCTCACACTAACCAGTGAGTTTTATATATCATGTTCCCCGTTTTATGGATCAGGAAACTAAGGTCGGAAAGATTCAGTTAACAGAGAGTCAGGTTACAAGGCTCTCACTGGAGCCAGGATTCTTACCCAGGTCTATCTTGCTTGAAAAATCTGTGCTCCTAACCACCCTAATTTCACTTCCCATTAACAGTCGGCAAATACGTGTTGAGAAGGAAAAAGAGATATAAAGACGTATCAACATTTATATCCATGTAATATTATAATAAAAAATATTTGTTCGAGGTGAGACGGGGGCAAAGGCCCTTTTTTCCTCTTCCAGTAATGTACCCTCTGGAGAGAAGAAATAAATCTCAGATACGTGTCTGTGGGGCTGACTGCCCTGGCACACGAGGGGGAAACGAAGGGGAACAGCAGAGACGGAATAAGGGGATAGCGGAAGGCAGCCAACATTAAAAACATCAGCCTTGGACGAGCTATTCTGCAAACTCTTCGGAATCTGCTAAGAACCAAAACACAGTGCACAGAGAAGTCCGGAGACAAGGCTGTCTTTCTTCAGCTTTAGCTCTGCCACCAAGTAGCTAGGAAGCTTGATCATTTACTTATCCAGACCTCACGCTCCTCATCTGTAACACGGAACTGACGATATTTCACACATGCCTTCCACGCTCAGTGCTGCTGGGGGAAGGAGGAGTCGAAACGAAACAGCACGGACAAAAACACCTGGAAAATAGCCCCTCCAAGCCAACTCTCCAAGGGGTGAGCAAGCAGGAAGAGTCAAGGGATGACTCCAAAACACACTCATCGAACGAGAGAAAGGCACCCTGCGACAGCAATACTCACTGCCTGACAACGGTCAGAGCAAAGCGCGTCATCTTCTTGGCACCCAGAGAGAGGAGAAGCAATGGCCACAGCTCTGATAGCGTGCTTCGCACCACGCCGCGCCGCTTCTCTGCACTGCGGACTCACCTCGCCCACACCACTTCCGCCAAACCCAGCCAGCCAGCCGGCTCCGCTGCCATAGGCCGAGGCGCCCGCTTACGTCACCTCCGGAAGTCCAATCAGAGCGGTGAGAGCCCGGCAGGTCGGCGGAGACTGGTGAGAGCTGAGGCCCTGCCCAGGGCCGTAGCGCTTGCGCCCCTGCGCGCGGGCCTGTGATTGGCGCGCGGCTGCGGGGCCCGCCCTGCAGTCCGCGGTGGAGGCGATCCTTGCCCGGTCAAGCCTGTATCTTGGAGGCTCAGTGTAGATATGGAAACCAACACTCGGATTTGGGGCTGATCTGATTTGAGGCTGGAACGCAGCCAGTACTCTTACTTCGTGGGTGTACAGCGCCAGACGAATTGGGTTCTGTGAGGTTTAGCTGATCCCTAACACGGGAGATGTAGGATCAGCAAGGTCTGTGGACTTAGACCACCCAGTTTCAGTCCCAATCCACCTTGACAGACATGCCCCCGGAACAAACTTCAGTCAGGCTCTTTAGAGCCCTCTCCCAACTACCAGGCCTCATTCTTGGCCTACTGAGCCCGGTTTTTCCCAGAGTCCTGCGAAGCCAGCTTATTGAGAATCCCTTCACCCTTGGTATTCTCATCCACTCGTGATTTCTAATCAAGCTCCTCTTCCGCCATGATCTTGAACCAAGTTCCTCTTTGTAATTTTCCATTCTCTCCCTCACCCTGACCCTTGGGTATAAGTTTCCACTGGTCCCTGTTATATCCGGAGTTCAATTCAGTCTCTTTCCCCTATTGCAATAGCCTTGTTCCTACTGCAGTGGTCTTGAGTCAAGTCTTTCCCGTTCCTGCTGTTTTTTAAAGAGCATCTAGTAAATAAGTTCTCTTTAATAGCTTTCAGGGCCTTGAGAGAATTACTTAACCTCTCAGGCCCTCAACTGCATGATAGGTAAAGTAAGATAACAGGAGCCACAACACAGGTAAAGCTTAATAATGTTAGCTTTACATTGTCTTCCATGCATTTTTTTTTGAATGAACTAAAAAATTTACTCAAGCACCAAAAAGGAATACAAATTGGATGTTAATCATTTTACTTGACCGCTATAAAAAATATCCAGTTTATATTACTTTGCTCTTTTTACCACCTCTGACTATAAATACACAAAGATTTGTATGACAATGAAAACTAACCACACATATAATACATCTTGAAAACAATAATAGTGCCTAATAATTATTAAGCAGAAATTAGTAATAATGTTTCATATGAGATTTAACAATATGTTATGAAGTTAGCTTACATATAAATGTCCTATTTTATTTTCTTTATTCCTAAATCTCCTCTTTTCATTTTTTTCCCCTTTCATTGAATATATATTGGGGGCTTACTCTATGTCAGGTATTATGAAAATAGAAGAGTCGTGAGCTATAAATTAAAATTGTTACTAAATCATTATAAATTTTGAAATGTCCATGCATTTTTTAACCTATATTCTCATATTTAATAATACATTTGTAATGCATTTGTTTCCTTGAATCCCCAGTTATATATGCGAAGATGGGTTTAGAGGATTTAAGTGATGCATGGAACATTTTGATAGATTGGCACACATTTCAAAACAGTTTCACGTTTATAATCTCATTTGGCCCTCAGAAGAACTCTGAGGCAGATAGGGTAGGCTACATTATCTTCACTTCAGACATGAGAAATCTGGCCTAAAGTGAAACTAAGCAATTTATCTAAGCTCAAAGTTGGTCAGTGGTGACACAGGACTAATTCAAAGATTCTCAAACTACCTGCACAATGGGATTATCTAGGACCTTTTTAATTCCAGGCTATACCCCAGAAAAATTAAATCTGAGCCTTGGTGGGAGGGACCCAGACATCAGCAATTTTTTAAAAATCCCCAGCTGTTTCCAATGTGCAGCCAGTTTTAAGAGCTAGAAGTTTGAAGCAGTGCTTCACAAACTTTAATGCACACACAAATCACCTGGGGATCTTGTTAAAATGTTGATTCTGATTTAGCAGGTCTGAAGTGGGGGCCAAATTCAGCATCTGCTCCCAGGGAAATGAGGCATTTGCAGGATGCACGTGGAAGGATCATTCAGAGGGCCCTAAAAGTGGGGCCCGGATTGCCATACGGGTACCCTGCCTGTACATAGTGGATACTCCATATACATGTGCTGAATGATTGATTGAATGAATGAACCAGTCTAACAGATTCTCCTGGAAATTTGACCTGGAAAAATGAAATTAATTCGGTAGTTACCTGTGAGGACTAAAACAGAAAGAAAGCATAGAGAGAAACCACCAGATATTAGAGCTGTGAGGGAGCATGTAGACTGAAGCAATTAAAAAACAGAAACCACAAATAATACAAGCTTGAGGACAGATTTGTAGAGTGGAGGGTAAGGACCAGCAAAGGTAATGGAAGAACTGAGCAGACACAAAGAAACAGATGCAAGTGAGTAATGCACAGACCACCTGGCCTCTGGTCCCTCAAGATGCCATAGTCCCAGACACCTTATAAGTTCTAGTTTTTTTACAATAAAATGCCATTCTATTTAAGGTGGTCTGAGTGCATTTCTAAAGCCTAACCAAAAACAGCCTCCCACTTTGTCTTAGTTAGTACAATAACTCTGCAAGGTATGAGTTATATCAGTTTTACAGATAAATAAATTAGGCACATAAAGGTTAACTAATCTTCCATCTCTCAAGATCTCAGAACTGTGTTTGGCCCCAGGTAAGTATTCTCCAGGTGGTATCAAAACTATAACAATGAAGGTCAGTACTGGCTCCGATCAAAACTTTGAAACATAGTAGGGACTCAATTAAGATTTGTTAAATGAATGAAGAATATCTGTTATGATCAATATGTCAAATGAATCATACATCTAAAAGTAGCTGATAAAATGGGAGAGGATTGCTTTAGGAGAAATCTGGGAAATTATCAAACACCAATATTCATTTTAAAAGTTATCCAAAAAATATGTTTAAAAGCAATGTCTTCATAGCTTTAAAAATCGGGGGCCAACTGGGGAGGGGTTGAGAGATGCAGATCTTTGAAAGAGTGGACATTATCCTGCATTATTCACAATGGTTCGGGGATTTCTTTCAGCTTATAAAACAAACAGGAAGTTCGTTTAAATTTTGTTTAGATAGAAGCTAGAAATAACTACTGCTATATTTTGTGGACAAGGTATCAAATCACATGCATTTTTTTCTTTTTTAATGGAAAATGGTGCTTTGTTGTGGTACCTCATATAATGGAAATCTGAATTAGTCAGGATATGCCAGGTTATGTGGGGGTAACAAATTAACCCTGAAATTTCTGTGGCTTAACATAAAATTTTGTTTCTCCTTCATGCTCTAAGTCTGACATGGATCAAAAAGGGGCTTTATTTATTCAGTTTTTTAGATTCCATGTACAAATGAGATCATATGGTATCTGTGTTTCTCTGACTGACTTATTTCACTAAGCATAATGTTCTCTAGTTCCATTCATATCTTTGCAAATGGTACTATTTCCTTCTTCTTTATAGCTGAATAATACTATATTTGTAAATATATGTATAATTTTTTATGTATAATTACACATTTATGTGTAAATGTACCATAGTTTCCTTTTTCTTTTTTTTTTTTAATTGGTGAATTGGGGAAAGGGGAACAGACAAGTTGCTGGCCTTTTTTTTTTTGTTCTTTAGTCTAGTTGTGGAGGACGTTGCTTCACTGGCCCAAGTTGGCACCGTCATTGCGCTCTTCCCAGGTGAGGCAGATCAGTCGCTGGCTTCTGGATGGCCGCTCACGCTGGCTGCTGGCTACACATGGTAGCCCATGGCAACCCACCTGCCGTCGCTGGCGACTCACGGCAGCCCAGCTCCAGGTTGAGCTGTTGTTCAGCAGCTTAGCTGTAGAGGGCAGTGTCACTGGCCCTCATATGTGGGATCCGAACCGGGGCCCTCTAGAGTCCCAAGCCAGCTCTTAACCAACGCGCCACTCGGCCGGCCCATGAACCCATTCTTAGATGCTTCCTTTATTCACTGTCCAGAGCTACTCACATGGCCCTTTCTAATTGCAAAGATGATGGGGCATGTGTTTGTGAGGTGGGAGGAGTGGAGGGGTTTGGGAGTGGGGAGAAACATGAATGTTCAGTGAGCAGACAATGCCATAAATACTGTGTGTGTTGGAGCATCCCAGGATTCTGCCCTGGGCCCACTTCTCTCCTCAGTCATGAAGTCTCCTAGGTGATCCTATCCAGAGCATAGGCCTTATTTACATCCCCAGCCTGCAATTTTCCCCTGATCTCCTCATTCATGTATTCAGCTGCCTACTCAATATCTTCACTTGGATCTCTAGTAGGCATCTCAAGCTAACTTTGTCCACACAGAGATTTCAGTTTTCACCTCCAGAGACTGCTCACTCCTCTTCAAGTTTTCTCATCTCGGTAAATGGCAAAACCATCTACCTCTTTGCTCATGTAATCCTTGATTCTTCACCTTAATCTAATGCTCCCCATAAAATTCATCACAAATTTCTGTATGTTCAATATTGCAGTGAGTGCTGGACTTTTGCTCATGTTTTCAAATAAAGATTTAATTATAGTATTCATGAAAGATAAGCCAAGTATGAAAATACCTGATCTACTTGGAATGTGGGACTGGGGAGGAGGATGTGGGTTGGCATTAGTTCCCCAGGCATTTAAATACTTTCAACAATGGCATTAAGGGGGAAATTAACTATATTGTGACCAAATTCTGGCATATTGGTTAATCAGAGGCAGTGAAATTTTTATCCCTCTTGTTTATAATTTTTTAACTGAAAGTTTTCTTTTTATTCTGATCATGAGACTAAAATAGTTATAGACTTAAATCTCCAGGATTTCAAAGATTTCTTTTTTTTTTTTAAGATTTTTATTGGGGAATTGGGGGAAGGGGAACAGACAAGTTGCTGTCCTTTTGTTCTTTAGTCTAGTTGTGGAGGACGTTGCTTCACTGGCCCAAGTTGGCACCGTCATTGCGCTCTTCCCAGGTGAGGCAGATCAGTCGCTGGCTTCTGG